GTCTTGTTCAAACCATTCATCTTCCAGCAGCTTCTCTAGGTCCTCCCTTCATGCAGGATCAGTCTCTACTTCCCTTCTTCCATTGAACTTTTTTTTTTTTTTTCAAGCATGGTAATGCTTCTCAGAGACTGTCTAATTTTTCAGTTATTTTGCATTCCTCGTAATTCCTCCCAAGAAATTGATGACCCTTGAACAGAAGCATCATTCCTTACCTGCATCTCATTCCTCACATCGTCAGTGCAGTCTTTTATACACAATGGGTGCTAATACTGTTCCTGGTACTTATTCCAAAGCCATGATGCACAAGAAAGCTTTCTTTTCAGTGGTGGGAGGAGAGGTCTTCCAGTGCTTAATCTGGTTATTGCAGTACCTAGCTTCTGGTTAAACACTAAGTATACAAATAGTTATTCTTCATCCAATTATGACCAATCTTTTATTATTGTGATAATTAGGTGAGCAGCCCTTTTGTTAAGAGCGCCCTCCAGATGTGTCTTTTAGAACTGCTTTGGAACTTTGTAATTTTCTTTTAGCTGGTGGGATCTTAGTTCCCTGACCAGGGATCAAACCCAGGCCTCTGTCAATGGAAGTGCAGAATCCTAAACACTGGACCACTAGGGAATTCCCTAAGGACTTTGTAGTTTTTGTGAGGTCTGATAGTCCTCTCTTCTCCTCTGCTCGGACCTTCCCTTCACTCTGTCACACTCACAGCCAGGCTTGGGTCTTACTCAGACTGCAGCTTCTCAGTCCTCCTTCATGCCAGCCTCCTCAGGACCTCCTGGATTTAAGTCAGAGCTTCTAAAGGAAGCATCTGTTTGATAATAAAATAAGTATACTGTCTGGATCTAGCCATCTTTAGTAACTTTCTCTGCCTCCTCTTCAGGCAAGCTTTTCATTTTCTGTAGTAATCAGCTTTCTCAAACGCTCTGAGAATGGGGGAATTTGTGAAGTGTTTTGAATTTGAAAAATGCGACTCTGGGTCTCCTTGGTGGGGACCCAGCTGGCCAGCATGGCCCTGGAATGAGGGGGATGAGAGTGGGAGGGCTCCCATATCTGTACAATGGCAAATAGAGAAAGATGGCTTGGAAACGGGGGAAAAATGCTCAGGGGGAAGGAAATAATAAAATCAAGCTGCTTTATGGCTTATCAGCCCAAAAAGCTTTTCAGTTAAGCTCTATCTATAAAGGTGGGTCCAAGTAATGTTTGTTTTGCATTTCAGGCATTATTGTGTGATAAGTGGTGTAAATTTAGCCCCTTTAAGCCTGATCTCTTGGGAGTTGGATTTTAAGAGACTTTATTTGAAAGGACTGTATCGATTGGGTTTTGATTTGGTCCCTCCTTACTAAAGAGACTACTAAATAATGGCTGGGCCTCCCTGGTAGGCCTTTTTTGTTTTTAATTCATTTTATGGGTCTCTCTATTTGCCCTTGTTCTCCACCTTCAATTTCTAACTGTTCTACTTAAAAAGACTGAAGTGATGTGAAAGAGGGGGTAAAAGGGAAAGAAAATCAACTGTCACATTGTAAGCTTAATTGATTCAATAAATAACGTCTTTCAATTCCCAAGGCAAACCCCAAAGTCTTCACTGACGTCATCTAGCTCTCAGCTCAGTAAATGGTGGCGTTCTTAATTTAGACAGATGGGAAGAGTTCACTGGTGCTCACTTCTAAGGAAGGAGTGTGCTTTTCTGGTTTTAAAGACATACCGACTAGACTTTGGGGCCCACTCTATAAAAAGAAGCTTGCAACAGAATTAACATGGCCGTTTTTATTCATCCTGAAAAGAGAAGGAAGGCATTTAATTATTGTTCAGGGGTTTGTTGAACCAAAGGGGGAAAAAAAACGAGACAAGGGGAATGAAATCTACTAGTCCATATGTTCCACGCAGGCAGGGACTTAGATTTGTTCACCATTTACTCTCCAGTGCACATGGGCAGGTGCCCAGTAAATATTTGTGAACTGGTTTTGTGTTGAATGAGTAAGAGCAGAATTAGTTTAAATGTCATTCCACTTGTTGTTTCATCCCCAACCCCTCCTTTCCCCTTTAATTAAAAAGGTAAATAGCTCTAAGAGTATGTGCTGTATCTTCAGAAATGATTAAGGACAATTGTTTCATCAGTGTCTGGAGGTGGTATCCAGCTGCTTTTTTTTTTTTTTTTTTAACAAATTCTTATACTTGAATGAGTCATGCTTCAGAACCACAGGAGGACTGTCTGCAGACTCCATGCTCCAGCCTTGGAAGTTCAGATTGTATGGATCTGGGTAGGGCTGGGACTCTGTATTTGCTTTTGTGGGTTCCTCTAGTAATTCTAGTTTAATCACTGTTTAGTCAGCCTCCGGGTGCCCTGAACTCTCTGGTCTAAGTGATGCCTGGTAAAAGTGAGGAGCCTGAGGTGCCCAGCAGAATACTCAGCAGGGCTCCTGGCCCAATAGTCTGATGTTTCGGTTCGCCCCATACTCCATACTTCTTGGCATCAACAAGATCCTTTAGTTAATATTTCTTCCTTCCAAGATAGTGGCTATATTTGTGGTGCTGGAGAAGGCTCCTGAGAGTCCCTTGGACAGCAAGGAGATCAAACCAGTCAATCCTAAGGGAAATCAACCCTGAATACTCATTGGAAGGACTGATGCTGAAGCTGAAACTCCAGTATTTTGGTCATCTTTATGCAAACAGCTGAGTTATTGGAGAAGTGCATGATGCTGGAAAAGATTGAGGGCAGAAGGAGGAGAGGGTGTCGGAGGATGAGATGGCTGGATGGCATCACTGATGCAATGAACATGAACTTGGGCAAACTCTGGGAGATGGTGAGGGACAGGGAGGCCTGGCGTGCTTCTGTCCATGGGATTGCAAAGAGTCGAACATGACTGGGTGACTGAACAACAACCGCAGCTAGAAATCTGAAGGACCTTTGGAAACCTCAGGGAACCTCAAGGAAATGTTAACTTTTGTTTAGTGTAGTTTTGGTTCTGTTGTTTAGTCACTAAGTTGTGTCCTACTCTTTTGTGACCCCATGGACTGTAGCCCACCAGGTTCCTCTGTTCATGGGATTTCCCAAACAAGAATACTGGAGTGGGTTGCCATTTCCTTCTGCAGGGGATCTTCTCGACCCAAGGATCAGACTCATGTCTCCTTCATTGCAGGTGGATTCTTTACCATTGAGCCACCAGGGAAGCCCTCAGTGTAATTTAGTACTCAGTGTATTGTGTTGTCTTCTCTAGAGATGCGTTCCCCTCCTGTGGCTCAGAGCAAACCGCAAGTAGGAAGTCCCTATCTGTCTCCTGTAGGTCCTCTCAGTCTTTCCCAGCCCTGCTTGACTGTGGGAAGCAGCAGTTAAAGATCCAGCACTCTGGGGTCTACTAGAGTCCTCTGAAATCAAAGCCTTACCGTGTGGAGCCTGAGGCCTGCAGTTTAAGTTAGTGTTGCTCATTGTTATCCCCTGTCCTGTCCCTGAGTGCAGTCTGTCCCATTTCTGACAACCCAGCTTTGAATTCCTTAACACTGCAGTTCATAATTACATCACAACCCTGCCTTTCCATCTGAAGGTTTAGCCTCTGATCTACAGAACTTGTCCTTCAAGAAGGAAAGAGGGAGTATCTGCTCTCTTCTTTCCTTCAGGGTAGAACTTGACCAGCTGAGGTGGATGGGCTGGCAACTTGATGTGTTCAGCCTTGGTGTGAGCCTTGTGATGTTACGGGGTGCCCCTGAAACCAGAATTCAGCGTCTGTGCTCTTCCTCTGGCTTTATTATTTAATAGCTGTATAATGTGGGGGAAATTACTAAACCCTCCTTGAATTTCTGTTTTCTTCATCAGTAAAATGAAGGTTAAACAAGGTTGGGCTCTCGGACACAGGCTCAGATGGAGATTTTTGTGCAGAGGGTAGTTGGAATGGGCTCTTGGGAACAACTCTTGTGAGGGAGTGAGGGAAGCGGGCAGAAGGTAACCGTGAACTGCAATGCAGTTGTGATGAAGGTCTCAGCTGATCCAGTGGGGAACTGTGGCAATGGGATACCCTTCCGAGTTGTCCCAAATTTACACGGGGGGCTGGGTCTTCCTTCCTTATATTGGCCAGCCATCCGATGTGGGCCACTCCTGGAGAGGGGCATGACCTTAGGTACCACAGCTCCCTTTGGCTGAGGGTGGCTGGGTGCTGGCAGCAGCCTGTGGTGCTGGCAGAAGGGGGAGGATCTCCATAGTCCACCTTGCACCCACCACCGGATAACGGTGCACCAGATAACGCCCATGCAGACCTTGGCAGCGAGTCTAGCACTTGTGTAAGTATTGAGTAAACACAGGCATAGCTTCTTTTATCACACCTGACAGACACTGCACATTTTACAGACTGAAGGTTTGTGGCCACCCTCCATCAAGCAAGCCTTTTTTTTTTTTGGCTGTGCTGGGTCTTTGTTGTGGCATGCATGCTTCTCTGGTTGTGGCTTGTGTGATCCTAGTTCTCTGACCAGGGATCAAACCCATGTCCCCTACATTGGAAGGCAAGTTCTTAATCACTGGACCACCAGGGAAATCCCCAGGCAAGTCTTTCGGCATCATTTTTCCAACAGCATCTGCTCACTCCGTGTCTCTATGTCACATTTCAGTAATTTCTGACCTGTTCGTTGTCATTATACCTGTTACGGTGATCTGTGATCTCTGATGTCACTGGTGTAGTGTTAACTATCACCATGATTATTCCAGCTCTGGCAGCGCCACTTAGTAGCTGGATCACTTTCAGTAAGTCGCTTAAATTGCTTTCTTATGTTTAAAATGGAAGATTCACAGCTCTGCTCTGCCTGTTTCCCCAAGTAGTTCCGAGCACATGTGGAGATAATGTATATAAAATTGCCGAATGGAATATTATAAAAATGTGAGATATGACTACAAGCCTACTTTTCTGAAATGAATACATGGCCATTGCTTGGATTCCTTGAAGGGAAAGGTTGTGATAAATGTAAAAGTGCTTGTCCGTGAAATGTGGCATTTTGATGTTTCTTTCTTCTCTCCCTAGGGAATTAGAATAATGGAGATGCTGCTAAAGGAACAGTGTGGTGCCCCCTTAGCTGAATAAAGAATCACCAGTGAGTACCAAAAGCAAAATCAGAATTATTTACTCAAGCCATGTCTTCATGCTTATAAGCCTAAGTATTATGCTCCAGCCTCCCTGGGCTATTCTTGCTGTATGTTTCCCAGTTATACTCACAGGATGCTTCTTGCAAGTGTTTTGTTATCTGTTCTATATACCTTTATTTGCTTGGTTCTTTGATTTTCAGAGCAGTTTTGTACTACGTGCTGGGTTGCAACTGCTCTTAGATTGTTTAAACTGCTCAATACAATCCTCCGTGATTGCCACCCTCAAGATATATAGCATAGGTTGTAGAGACTGCAGTTCAGAATTAACTGAAGCTTAATTTTATTGTCCCAAGAACAGTGAAAGCAGGGGTTTAAAGCTGTATTTGGAGCAGGAAAAAAAATAAGAAAGGGGCATGTTGATTGACCACTGAAATACAGATATTTCATCAGTTATGTGTACTCCTGCCAATTGGGGGTGGCTGTCTGAAATGCTATTGAGGAGGATTCCAAGGCCCAGAAAATAACTCTCGGGCTCTGGATAAGAGTATTGTGATTGATTATGGGAAGACCCAGAGGGATTGGGTGGAGAGGGAGGTGGGAGGGGGGACCAGGATGGGGAATACATGTAAAAAAAAAAAAAAAAAGAACTATTTTCAACAATGGAAAAAAAAAATAAACATATTGTAAACAGTTTAAAAAAAAATAAAAATAAAAAGCAGGCAGAGGAAAAAAAAAAAGAGTATTGTGATTGATTAGCAATGTCTACCATGGGCAGAGGATGGAAGAGATAGTACTTGTGCTGGAGCACATGCCACTTTCAGGGCAAGTGATGTAGGGTTAACAGATAAGCAAGGGGATTCCAGAAGTTCTTCCTTTTCAGTTCTTTAAGTTTTTATTATCTACATCAAGGAGAATGGCATGCTTGCTGGGAAGGGCAGAACAAAGTTATCTGAGAGACTGAAAGCCTAGTATAAGTTAGTGGATTTGCATATTACATGGTTTATTTGACTTCGATTTTAAACATCTGAGAGAAGGTAGAACCTTTGAGTAGAGCAAACATTATCATGGGTAATTCAGAATTACCTCAAAGTTCCTTATGTTGGCTTTAACCTAGAGTATACATGGTCTTGTGTAAACGACCTGGTCTCTAACTTTGATATTCAATAAAGTTTGAGAACAATTAACCAAAGAAGAAGCAAAAGGAACATTTGTATACAAGAACCTCAGCATTCAAAGCATGCTGGCCAGGCCTATGCTTGAGGAATGGAGAATTATAAAGGGTTTCTGCTTGTTTGCAAATTTGACTCCATTCTGATGAATATTAAACCTCTGTATACTTAACACACACTGATACATCTATTTATTACTGGAATGGCTAAGCAAGATAATTTCATCTAGTGAAAGCCTGGCACATGGCAGGTGCTCAAACAATGTTGGCATGGAATCGACATGTGTGCTCCCACATCTGCTCTGTTCTTGGGAAGGTTGTGGAGAATAACTTGGCCACATCCCCCTGTTTTTCCAGACTGGCCTGTCTGTGAGGCTTTCAAAGCACCTCTGGTGCACTTGGGAACAGAGCCCATCTTACCCTGCAGGGTGGAACCTAAAGTCAGGTTAATTAGAGAATGAGGAACTCAACTTACAACTATATATTTGTTTTCAGACTTTACATCAGTGACTTGGAAACTTTAGTGAGCGTCAGAATCATGTGGAGAATTTGGTAAACACAGAGTGGTGAGTCCCACTCTAAGTTCCTGATTCAGGAGGTCTGGGCGGAGCCTGGGGCTTTGTGCTTCTGACCAGAGTCCAGGGGATGCTGGTGAGGCTGGTCCAGGGACCACACTTTAAGAATGATTGCTTTAAATAAGTTCCCATCTTGGAGTTGTAGACAGATGAAATGCAAGGACCCTGCAAAAGCTGATGGCTGGTGTTTTGAAATTATTGTGTACATCTTCCATCAACTTTATAATCAGAGGAGGAATAATTTTCTGTGTGTGGCTTTTCCCTGATTTTAGCATCTCAGCCTCTTCTTATTTGCCACTTTTATCTTTTCTTCCCCCTCCTTGAAGGTTGACAGGCTTCACAGTGGAGCAAAGATGACTGAAAAGGGTTGAGACTCAACAACACATCATGTTTGAAATCGTCAGCTTGTGGTTTTGATTTAAAGGGTTACAGTGAAAAAGAGGAAATTTAATAAGCATTACCTCCCATCTTAAATGACTCATGTTCTTGTTCTTTGGTTTTGGTTTTACTGTGGTGGAAAGCGAAGTCATGAACTTGAGGCTTTTTGTTGTTTCTAAAAAGCAACCAGCTCTCCTCCCTGAAGTGAAGAAGCTGAGGTCTGGATGCTATGAGGAGCTGAGTGCAGGCGAGCTGCAGAATGCCTTTAATGCAACAGAGTTCCTGAAGGATTTACGTCGTTCAGACTGTCATCGTTTATGACCAGTTCTGTCAGGAGCAGATGTGAATTAAGGACTGTATACTCTTACCACAGGGGTCTACAGCCACTGCAAATTAGGGGCTATGGCCAAGGCTTTACGCTTTTTCCAAAATTGGCTTCATTGCTCAGTTAAATTGCCTTCATCAGCACAATTAAATTGACTAATTTCAGTGTATGACTCGGTCAGTCAGTTCAGTCGCTCAGTCGTGTCCGACTCTCTGCGACCCCATGAATCTCAGCACGCCAGGCCTCCCTGTGCATCACCAACTCCCGGAGTTTACTCAAACTCATGGCCATCGAGTTGGTGATGCATCCAGCCATCTCATACTCTGTCGTCCCCTTCTCCTCCTGCCCCCAATCCCTCCCAGCATCAGGGTCTTTTCCAATGAGTCAACTCTTTGCATGAGGTGGCCAAAGTACTGGAGTTTCAGTTTCAACATCAGTCCTTCCAGTGAACACCCAGGACTCATCTCCTTTAGGATGGACTGGTTGGATCTCCTTGCAGTCCAAGGGACTCTCAAGAGTCTTCTCCAACACCACAGTTCAAAAGCATCAATTTTTTGGCACTCAGCTTTCTTCACAGTCCAACTCTCACATCCATACATGACCACTGGAAAAACCATAACCTTGACCAGACGGACCTTTGTTGGCAAAGTAATGTCTCTGCTTTTTAATATGCTATCTAGGTTGGTCATAACTTTCCTTCCACGGAGTAAGCGTCTTTTATTTTTTTATTTATTTTTTATTTTTTTATATTCACTTCATTTTATTTTATTTATTTATTTATTTATTTATTTTTTATCACAACCATAGTGTATCTTTTTTTTTTTTTTACATGTATTCCCCATCCCGGTCCCCCCTCCCACCTCCCTCTCCACCCAATCCCTCTGGGTCTTCCCGGTGCACCAGGCCCGAGCACTTGTCTCATGCACCCAACCTGGGCTGGTGAACTGTTTCACCCTAGATAATATACGTGTTTCAATGCTGTTCTCTTGAAGTAAGCGTCTTTTAATTTCATGGCTGCAGTCACCATCTGCAGTGATTTTGGAGCCCCCAAAAGTAAAGTCTGACACTGTTTCTACTGTCTCCCCATCTATTTCCCATGAGGTGATGGCACCAGATGCCATGATCTTAGTTTTCTGAATGTTAAGCTTTAAGCCAACTCTTCTACTCTCCTCTTTCACTTTCATGACTCGGTAAGTTTTGACAAATGTATACAGCTGTGTAAGCAGCATGAAAAACACGATATGGAACATTTTGAGGCATTTCTGTTCCTGCAGTGCTGTTGCTGCAATGCTGTTGCCAGCTTATTGCTCCCACCTTTTAGCTCATTTTTTGGACTGTTTTTGCAAAATTTTGGCAAGTTTGAAATATACCTATCTTAATGGAACTTTTTATTTTCTAAAAATTACATTTACCAGAGTGGGGAATGTAGGAAGGGAAACTTCCTTTTATGTGCACTAAAATGCTTCATTGAAAGAAAGGGCTGAGGGGGAGGTGAGGGGTGGGGATTAACTCCATAGCTAAAGAGCAGAAGTCAGCCAACTGTAACCCAGAGGCTAAATCTAACCTGTGGCCTCTTTTGTAAATAAAGTTTTATTGAAACTCAGCTATGTTCCTGGTCATGTTCCAGCTACAGCAGAAGCATAGAGCTGTGACATATCTTTTACCATCTGGCCCTTTAAGAAAAGTTGTCTCTCCCAGGGATTAGAGTTTGATGGCTCCTAAATTAGCATGAGGTGGCCTCCTGGTGGTGGTATGGTCTTTGTTTGGTTTTAAATGTATCATTTGATCTCATCTTGCCTCTAGTCCAAAGTTGATAATAGTATGAGAGTTAACTCTGACCACCAGTTGGAGGGTTATTTTAAGGCGTGAAAAAGCATTAAAATGATGACCTAAGACACCAGCAATAGTGGTCATTAAAATTGCTTCATAAGGTTCTAGTGCACATGCATAGTGGGGTAGAAATACAGGTTTTTGTTTAGCAGGTGCAGTAGCACTCTGATGTGGCGATAGTGTAGGTGCCATGTCCAGTGTACTCAGATTTTGAGCTTTGGAATGTTGCAGTTCTTAACAGTGTTTTAAAAAAGCATTCCATGGGGTCTGTACAAATGTGTCCAAGGAGATGTTGCTTAATATTTTTATATTCTACTACACATTTCAAATGTGCATAATTTAAAATCACACATAGAACCTGACCACATTGTGTAGGGTACCACCTCGCCCTAACGATGCTTCCATATCTCAGTGACATGTGTATTCTAGTTGGTGTTGATAGTTAGAAAGCTTAGAAGGTGATTTTGTCCTGAGCTTAGGTGCATAAATCTCACTAACCAGTCTGCTTGCGGTGTGCTGCTGACACATCCATCTGATAGATTTTTGATTTCCTGTCATTTTTGCAGAAAACAAATAGCCCTGACATCTGTTTGTTCTTGCTGCTGGCAGTTGGGAGGCCGGGCCTGGTGAGGTTTGATAACATAGTCACCTTCTTTCACATGGGAATGATTAAGACCTCAGTTTTCGCTATATCTTAACTTCCCTTTGAACCAGCTCCTTTG